TGACAAATGCGATTATGTGGGTTAGGCAGCCTTTGGGGCCAGCCTAGGTCACGTTTTGGTGAAGGTCAGGTCAAGGTCAGGTCAAATTAGGTCAAATTTCAAAGTTGATATTTTTGCATAAAATGGGTATCGATTCGATGCAGCTCGTCACGGGGAGTCTAATGGTGGTCTTCGTTTTGCTCTACGAGTTCTAGAATTGCCAAAAATTGAGTTTGAAAATTTGACGTCATCATTTTTGAACAGTTTTTTCGCATAACTTGGCCAGAAAACGAGGTATCGATCTGAAATTTGGTATGTAGATAGAAGACGGTAGGCACTATCACATATATTCCGGTTTTTGCGAAACTCAAAAAACTTTTTGGATTTTTTGGCGAATATATCCAAAAAAATGCTTTTTTGATTTTTGGGGGTCAAAACTCAAAAATTTCAAAAATTCGAGATAGCAGTTTTGTAGCCCTGTCAATTTTACACCTTTTATGTTTTGATCATTTTTCTGTATCTTCAAAGCTGTAGTCCTGACAGGTCTTCTCGCGAAGGTCTTTTTTCGGTCGAAAATGACAGAACATGACGTCACTCTGACGTCATTTATGGCCAACCTATCATAGCCTCTGGAAAAATTTTTGGTCACAATATGTAAAATTGATGCCCGGAGAGGTCCTGAAAGTTTGGTGGCGATATCTCCAGCCGTTTAGGAGATATCGACCGAAAAGGACAGGGGGGGCCGTTTCGGCCCCCCCCCCCCTACGGGGCGCGGGTTAATGATAGCTTGCCTGTGCCATCGTTCGCTAGTGATGCCACTATCTTTTTAACGCCAAAACGTGGTATTAAAAGTTAAAACAAAACAAATATCAAAGGTTGGAGTAGCTTGTATATGTTGTTTATCTGTGACTGTGGCATGGGTTGATATCACTAAAATGATAATTAGTCCAAAGCGATTGTTTTATTGAATGGGTGCTTTCAGGGGTCATACAGCTCCCTTCATGGGCGCAGAAATGCGCTACGAATATTTGCGCCTACGAAGAAATGCGAGACGAAATAATGCGACACGAATAAATGCGCCGACGAAGATTTGCGGACGAAAAACTGCGCGACGAAGAAATGCCATACGAAGATTTGTCCTGGAATCTTCAGACTGGGCCCACTAGCTTGCTGTGAAGTCCGACTTATTGAGATCTACTCACTGATATAGGGCTCCGATATTTGGAATGAGATTTAGAACACCAATACAGGCCGGGGCCCAAGTGGTTAATTTTCTTTAAAACATAAGTAAAAATGGCCCACTTTCGTTATATATTATGCCCACAGGTCCCCCCAGAAAATGGAATTAATGGGGCCCGGGGGGACGGTCCCCCACGGTTTCTCCGGCACTGATCCCCACCAATAAATTAGAATTGAGACCAATATCCAACCTGTCAAAATCCCTTTCAGATATCCTGACTAGTAATCGGCATTGAAAAATCTAAGAGGACGGTATTTTGTAAATATTTTACCTATTTGCTGCTCCATAGCTGCATGCTCGCACAGCAGAAGCGGCCAGCAACACCGCAGCAACAGCCAGAAAGTTCAAAATATTCAACTTCTCGGCGATCGAGAGCAACAGCTCGTTCATTGGTTATAATTATCGTGACGTCACGCTCAGCGACCGTCGGCGATCGTCGGATGTTGCCGACATATTGGGCAATATTTGAACAACCCTGAATAGCATTTGGCAGCACTTCAGCAACCCAGAGCAACAGAAAAGGCTGTCGCCGAGCAACCGATTGCTGGGAGTTGCCGACGGGAGTCGCCCGTGTACAACGGGCTTTAGGGCCGCCCGGATGTCGCCATCTGCACATTTCCCGAGGATCCGACGGGCCAGGGCGTCAGTGGTAGGCTTTTGATGTTCTCGTGCTGAGTCATTTGTTGGTGGTTCGGGAAGCAGGTTTGGTGTCATGGTTTACCCGATGATGTGCTTTGATTTGGAATTCGGTCAATCCCTCTACTCGAAAACTGCTGTGCAATTGTATTTTCGACATAGCCCACAAATGACCTTAGGTCATCGCATGACCTTGAGAGGTCAAATGAGTGTTGGGAAAGTAAGATTAGATGCTGGCGAGTCGATTGGTGCCATTTTTAGCGCTCTAGCTCTACTGGGTGGGCCACAATCTGCTGTGCAAATTTGGGCCACGTGACATTTGCTGACCTCTGTAGGTCAAACGGCTGGGAGTGCCACCGAATGACTTGGACTGTGGATTGGGCATGTCGTGGCCTACATTGAGTGCGCGTTTCAGCTTGATCAGAGGTGTCCCGAATCTGGGCTGAATCCGGGCTGCGACGTATTGAGTGTCGTTTATTTGCCCATTTTGACCTGCCGAGGTCAAACGGGGTCACATATCGAAAAGCGGTTTGTGAGAAAAGTTACTACGGTTTATGGGCTACCCGATGATGTGCTTTGATTTGGAATTCGGTCAATCCATCTTCTGGAAAACTGCTGTGCAAGTGTATTTTCGAAATAGCCCACAAATGACCTTAGGTCATCGCATGACCTTGAGAGGTCAAATGAGTGTTGGGAAAGTAAGATTAGATGCTGGCGAGTCGATTGGTGCCATTTTTAGCGCTCTAGCTCTACTGGGTGGGCCACAATCTGCTGTGCAAATTTGGGCCACGTGACCTTTGCTGACCTCTGTAGGTCAAACGGCTGGGAGTGTCACCGAATGACTTGTATTGTGGATTGCGCATGTCATGGCCTACATTGTGTGCGAGTTTCAGCTTGATCGGAGGTGTCCCGAATCTGGGCTGAATCCGGGCTGAATCTGGGCTGAATATGGGCTGTATTAGGTTTGGCGGCTTTTTGACCCAGCAACTTCCTTGGGAAAGCTCCACCCATGCTCTGGAGGCTAAACCGTTGACCTGAGGTCAAATCTGAGGACATTACTCAGAAAGGTCTGTAAAGGGGGTATCGAATGCGCTTTTCCGCGGCGCTGTAGCTCTATTGGTTCCCGAGTTAGCCGTTGGCAGTTTCCAAAATTATTGAATGGCCAAAATGTGACTTTTGATGACCTCTGGTGACCCGACCTTTGACCTGACCTTAAAAATGACCGAAGTGATTTCTTCCTTATTATTGACGTTCTTTCGATTGCCGCTTACCGCGTGTCGCTACGTGGCCCAGGAGCCGAGTTAGACTAGGGGGGGGGGGGGGGGTGAACTCGGCGGAAAGTTCAGGCCATCAGCACGGCGCGGGTTAGCGCTCGCCCGCACATGCTATTTTCCCATCATAGAACGCACATGGGGTTGCCGCCCCCCCCCCCGCGCCATTTCGTTCCTGCTGAAGATAGAGCTTCGCGTCAAAGACCAACAGATTCTTTGGGAAGAGAAATCCAATGGTACCCAATTTTACCTCATTAGGTCAATCATCAACCTTCCAGGTCAGGTGAAACTAGAAATGTTGCTGTTTGGGGCCCCCGTTGGAATAGCACGTGCGGTGCCCATCATAAACCGATGGCGCTGCCGTTTGTGGTGCCAAGCCAGCTATGTAGAACAGCTCGTTGTCACACTATCCGACTAGGTTTTTACTGGCTGTGGTTATTTCAGGTCAAGGTAGGATATCGCTTCCCAACTTTCAGCAAACCATGAGCTCCGCTCTAGATTCACCCGACAGGACGCTGCCCTGGCCCTCCCGCGCATGAGAACTAACGCAGGCAAGCGCCGCTTCCTGTTTCATGTAGTCCGTCTCTACAACTCTCTGTCACCTGATCTCCGTATCCGCTTTTAAACGCCACATAGCGTCATGTTTACAGGTATCATGATCTATCTATGCGATGGACAGTTTTATGTGATTTTGGCTAGTTATTTTGTATGATTGAGACGTGATTGTTTCATGCGTCGATTTGAACATGTTCCCTCCCTTTTATAAACACAAGTGACATAGCCGGTATTGTATCGGAGAGTGTTTTAATTGTCAATACATACATACATACATACATACAAGATAGGTCAGGGCCAATGATAAGTGTTTGTATGTCTGTGTGTGTCTGTGTGTATACTAGTGATGTCAATTACGGAAAATCGTGATACCGATACCAAACCAAATACCAATAATACTCACGGAAAAATACCGAAACCGAACCGACTTGGTAATATGAGGGAAATACCAACTTTTTACCAAATTATCAGCCTCTTTTACATTAGAGGATTCATAAAACCAACAAAATACCAAATGTGTTCGCCTTGAAATACCAAATACCAAGTTGGTATCGGTTTGGTATCGGTATACCAAAAAGTTGGTAGGTATCCGATTGACATCTCTAGTGTATACTGATGTGTGCACCGATTAGTTTGTGTGTCCCATAGACCTCTGTACCAAAAATGCAGTCAAAAAATAAATTCACGAAAAGTAAATTCAGCAAGCCTAAAATGCAGTGTTTTTAAATGACCCAACTTGACCTTGACCCTGACCCTGACATCTGCACATCGTAGAATAACATGTTTCATGATAGGTGGGAGGTAAGACTAGCAAAAACATACCGAAATCAAGGTATCAAAAGCTGACAAGACGGCCATAGCCAACGCAAGATGCTGAGTATTGGACTGGTCATTTGGGTCATGACATGACGTAAACAACAAGGTCATATCTCCGAAAGCAGAAACCACAGAAACTTGAAATTTTCCGTGGACGCTGAGAAAGGATAGTGTTACGATAGTGTTAGCAGCTATACGAAAAATCAGGCTTCTGGCTTTAAAAATGTTGAGTGCAGAGCAGAAAAAAGTACCTGGAAAGGTGACACCCCCCCCCTTCCCATGTGCGGGCGAGGGTTAAGATACCAAATGTTGCTTCCAAATGACGTCATAGGAACAGTAAACGCAAAAAAATACGAGAATAATATCTAAAAAAAACTGAATATTTTCGGTGAAATTTGGTAGAAATTCCTTTTTTGCAGTTTCTGAACCACGGCACATCACTTAAATGCCGATTCATTGACTTTTTAGGAGGTTAGAGGGTCCCTCCTTTTAATAGTACTCACTCGACGCAGGCCAGCCGGTCTCCGCGCGCCTTGGGTCCGTTGTCGTCGTGAATGACCAGACTGTGGCCGATGATCGAGTTTGGGCCAGAGAGCGGCAGGTTGGTATCGGTCCACAGGCGCCGCGTCCTGTGAACAGTCACAGTTACCGACCACCGTCACCTGTGGCCAGTTACAGTTCAAAGTCATACAGCCAGACACAACTATACCTACAGCCAGTCATTGATTCAGTGGTGGTCATGAAACTTATCAGCCACCGCCCCCCCCCCCCCCACAACGGTTTATCATGTAGAAAGAAAGCTATGAATACAAAAGCATCAGCGCAGCGAAACGTTATCACAAATCTCACTCGTTGAGTTTGTCGCGCAGCGCCGCTAGATTCAGTGTGCCGTGCTTGCTGACCATGTCGCCCATCTCACAGTTGGTCATTTCCTCGGCGCTGCACGAGCGCGAGTACAGGCGCGACTCGCTGTTCACCTGCCGGTAGAGGAAGGGTCACATCTCAGATGGGACACACATCTGGCTTCTTTCGAGAACATCACGCGGAAAAACTTGTGGTTGCCTGCGAAATTACGAGTAGTTTTTGAAAATCTCCCACGTATGAGTTCCCCTTGAACTCGTGTAGTCTTCTGAGTGTAGGAAGTAAACTCGTGGTCAAAACAGGGGCGGCGCCACAGATTTTCGCTGGTGGGGGCCGGTGGGGGCAGGCTAGTCTAGGCTGATACCCATCACGGGACCTGGATGGTAAAATTTAACCTGGGCCCGGGTGAGGGTCCCGGTCAACTTCGCCATGGTGGGGGTGGGAGAGGGGGCGTATTTGGCCAAATCAGGTTATCCAACAATGAGAATCTGTAAACACGCGTAAAAAGCGATAAAGATCGCTGAATATCTATCAGAACTATAAGGGTCATTTTCCATCAGGTCATGAGGGCACTGGAGGTCCACAAACAAAGAGCTATCAAGAAATGTTTCCTGGTTTTTATAATTTCACTAATCGGCGCCGCACAAACTCGGAATAGAGCTACAGCGCTTCTGTAAAGCGCATTCGAATTATTTCCAAAGTTTATGTGGACAAAGTTCTCAGATGTCACCTAGGGTCAGCGGTTAGCCTTCAGAGGGCCAAAACTCCGTTTTTGAGGGACACGTTTTCCTGTAATGTCTTTTCTCACCAAGCTTGTTATGCTCCCTTTTACCAGCATTGCGTTTCTCGTTGAGAGATGTCGAATGAACTATAACTTGACCTGAAAATGTCAGTTTCAAAATTGGACCTGAGGCTAAAGTCATGGAAAAGCCTATGCTGTCAGCATAGGCGGCGGAAGGGGGAGGGCACCGGGGCACCGTGCTCTCCTTTGATTTTGGCATTTTAACATTAGCCCTATGGGCTTCGCATGGAAAGAATGGGACCAAAAGTTGGCGGTACCTCCCCCCCCCCCCTAATTGAAGATGTTCCGCCGCTACTGGCTGCCAGGCCCATGTCACTCCGCTTTTGATGACATCCTTAGGGGGCCTAAAGACAACAATGGCGCAGGATGCGTCACACGCACAATCGCTTCCAAGCTACTTGCCATTTGCCAACAGCTGCCATTTTTAAAATATTAATTTCAAATCAAGTTACAAATAATAACCAGTATAACGCCTTTTGGGGCGACCAACGGAGCGAGCGAGAGGGTGAGTCTTGCACGTGCGAAATTTCGAGGGGGTACCTCCAACTGACTTTAGCACGGCACCCTACTGACCGGTTTCTAGCGATGTGCCAAATTTGAGCACAATCGGCCCAGCCGTTCTCGAGATCTGGGGGCGGCACCCTGCACGTGCGCACGTGCAACATGGGTCCCAACTGACTTGTGCATGGCACCCTACTAACTGGTCCCTAACCGTGTACCAAATTTGAGCGCCATCGGTCCAGCCGTTCTCGAGATCTGGAAACGACCCCTGCACGTGCGCACGTGCAGCAGCACCCCAACTCTGGCACATGGATATGCAGTGCCTAGTGGGTGCCTACCTACATGCCAACTTTCAGCGCAATCGGCCAAGTAGTTACCGAGATATTGCAACAATTACAAAACTGACACCTCTTCGTTTTGCACGTGGCACGTGCATAAGGGGTCACCCACATGCATCGGGAATAGTCCAATACTTGGTAGAAGGAATGAAGCTACCGTACAAAAATTACCGCGTGTAAATCGGTCAAGTGGTTGCTGAGATATAAGCCTCGCAAAAGCGTCCGCACGGCCGGCCGGCCGGCCGGCCGGCCGGCCGGCCGGCCGCTCATACTCAGAAATTTCTGTTAATCTAAGGAAAGACTACGCTCGCTTCGCTCGCTCCGTAATAAAAAACATTTTAATAAAGTTGTGAATTAAATCGAAACCTTATCTAAAAACGTACTGAAGAAATATTTATTCATAGTAAAAAATAAGTTTAATGCGCTCTTTACGTTGCTTTCCTGCTACTGCAGAGGGTTTTTAAATCGTCTATATCTTCAAAGCCGGCCATTTCTTAGCATATTGCTCCTCTTTTTGTCGCTAGAAAATGGGTTGGGCTTTCCATTGACATCAATGGTTGAGCGGTATGTGTAAAGTGCTATTGATAATCTTCAAATGAAGCTATAGTCACTTTGGCAAAGGAATGGAGTACCACTTGCGAGCATCAGGGGTGACGTCACTCAGGATCTGTCTCGGATTCGTCGGCGGGGGAATGACTGTACCTTCTATAGATGGCCTTGCATGCTACAATCAGTCAATTTGTACCATCGAGCTGAACGCATCTGTGATCTGAGGTGCTTGCATCGCTCTAGCATGTCTCTACATATCTAAATTTATTGCCAAAAACTGTTGGATACTTTTCATGACCTAAGATGACATAAGGTGCAAGGGCATACAGAGGGGCCAAGGGTACAATCTTCCAATTCAGTATGCCATGTGCATTGTGCACCTATGTCCCAATGTTTGAGTGTTAAGCTTGACTTTCGTTTTAAAAGAAGAGCAGTTCAATCGTATCCCGCCCGTTTGACCGTCAGACGCTTGGTCAGACGAGTGTGCTTGCATTTTTTCCAGTTTTTTTTTCGACAGGCGTTTAGCAGATATCGACGGATAGTTTTGTGGTTCGCTGTTTTGCGCTCCTCAAGGGATTCGAGCAGGGTCACGGATTCCAGCGTGTGTTCCACACGCACCTGGTAAGAGCTGGATGGGGGCCTAACCCAAATGCACCCGACCCACCTGGTAGGGGTTAAAGCGGGGCCCAGCGCTGAGGCATCGGCCGCTCCAGTTCCTGAAGTCGGCGCCTGGCACCAGTTCGTTGACGTTCCAGCGGTGCGCGCCGGTACCGTTCATGGAGCCGTCGTTGTAGAGCAGGCCCTCCAGGAGGACGGTGGTGTCCTCCTCGGGTGCGTCCTCAGGCTGCAGGAACAGCACGCGGCCGGCCAGCGGGAACCGGAACACGGCGGCGGCCGTCACCATCGGCCGGCTGTCCTGCAGGTTGGCGCACACCCACGGCGCGCCCCCGGCGCCGCCCTCGCCGCCGCCGGCCGCTGTGATCACCAGCGAGCGGCCGACCACCGAGCGCGGCCCCCACAGCGGCAGACTGAAGTCGGACACCTCGGCCTCGAAGCTGTCCAGCCCGGTGAGCCGGCCGTGCTTGCCGCTGAGGTCTCCCAGCGGGTAGCGGTCGCCGGTGGCGCCGCCGGCCGGCTCCGTCAGCTCGGCGTCCACCTCTGTCGGGTTGTAGACGGCGCCGACACGCTCACAGGGCGCCGTCCGACGCACGGCGCGCGGCGGCACCGGCAGCGAGTGCACGCCGAACGTGTCGGCCCGGCCGGCCAGGCCGCTCACGTTCAGCCGCAGCCGGGTCGGCTCGAACCGCGAGCGCTGGCTCAGCTCCACCACGCCGTGCACACCGTCGTACGAGAGGAACGCGCTGGCGGTGCGCCGCTGCACGGGCCGGATTTTGGCGCAGGCCAGGATCGAGTCCGGGTAATCCTTCTCGTAGAGCACCAGGTAGGCGCTGCGGTAGCCGCGCCACGGCGGCAGCTCCAGCCGGTCAGAGGTCCAGAACTGGCGCGTGAACCGAGATCGCCGGCTGGCTACCTTGATCTTGCCGAGCCGACTGAGCAGGTCGCCGGCCTTGCAGAGCTCCGGGGTGTCCTCGGTGCACTGGGCCGGGTCGGCGCTGTGCGGGTCGTACACCAGCTGTAGGAAGTTGCACGTGCCTCTGCTCTCGTCTGCGCAACACATTAAACAAAAAAAGGTTAACGTATCACATACCAGTAAAGAAACTGCGCACAGACTTACAAAACGCTTGCATGGTTCCTGTAGGCGAGGCTGGTTATTTGAAAATTATTCCCCAATACATGTATGCTTCGCACATGACTACGAGCAACTGTCGATGTAACTAGAGTTGACGTAGACGGTCAGTCATGAGTACTGAGCATGTTTCAAGAGAGCGGGTCGCAGGCGGTTCGCGGTCGCCTCCGTCACCGTACCGGCGGCCGTGGTGAGCACGTCAGTGACCATGACGCTCCAGCCGTGCTGGGACGAGGTGGGCACGCTGCTGCCCGAGTGCGCCAGGTCGGCGTGCAAGCTGGTGTAGCGCGTGCCGTTCACCCGGTACTGGCGGATGAACACCGCGCCCGCCACTGGCGACTGGAAGCGCGCCTCGGCCACGTCGTACTCCAGGTCAGGCGCCTGCCGGACAGCGGGGAGCGGTCACAGCCGAGCAGACACAGCGGAACAGTCGCTGGCTGGGAAACAGTTGCAGCAGGACGGCCGCTGACTGGGTCACGATTTCGATTTCGTTTGTTTCCATGGTGATGGGTGATAATATTGGCTGCAGGGCGAAGCAACAGAACAGGTATTGAGGACTGTACAACAGAAAAGACACGGGTCATGAGTCGCTGAAGTCGCGGTCACAATGTCATAGCGGCGAACGGTTTGTTTCACACATTGATGGTTCAGCACCTGTATTGTAGAGCAGACGACCCTGGGGCCTTCCAGCTTGATGCTGCGACCCAGGATGGTGTCAGTGCTTAATAGACTGATTTCGTTCGTTTCCATGGTGATGGGTCCATCGGAGGGCAACTGGATCTCTTCCAATCCCTCCAGCTTGTTAAACCTGGGAACGTTTTCAACATGATCTCGTTTGCATTGCATGAGTGTAACGAGTACGCATTCGTAACTACACCCTACAAGACATGCCGAATTGTTTTGCCCTCAGCTATGTATTTGACATCTCGAAATACTTACAAAGTTTCAATGCCATGGCACAAAGTGCATATATTCGGACTCATTTCGAACGTTGAACCCCCTGCAGCTTGTCCCTTCCCGGCGCACTCACGGTTTGCCGGTGACGCTATCGTCGCAGTAGTCGTCTCTGGTGTAGTCGGCGGGGAACTCGCTGACCCGCAGCCGGTAGCTGCCGGCCGCCTCGTCCTCCATCAGCGTCACATCCACCGTGATGGTGACGTTGTGCGCCGGGCTGGCCTGCGACAGCCGGATGGTGCCGCGCAGACCGCGCCACGAGAACGGCGCCTCGGCGGTCACACCGTCCGCGGCGGCGGCGGCACCGCCTGCCACGCGGGGACAGCGCCGGTCAGCTCAACACACAGTGGCAGTGTGTGTGTCGGCAGGGACCAGGGCGTATTTTAACATGTTAACTGGGTCGGCAATTGCCGACCCAGTCACGGAGAATGCCGACCCAGTGACAGCCGTTTGCCGACCCAGTTGCCGCCCCCTCTAGGATGCAGCACGCACATGCAGGCTAGGTGCCGTCATTCATAGTGAGGCTGCTGCCCTCCAAAATGATAATGCCGCCTCTTAAAGTGAACCAGCCGTCTATAGAAACTAGAAAGTGATCATCCCGCAACTCAATGTGACAGTGCCGCCCCTAAATCTGTTAGTGGCCCCACTCAATGTAATGGTGCCGCCCTTCTAAGCATCTGTGGAGCCCCTCAATGTGATGATACCGCCCCTCAAGAAGATGATGCCGCCCCTTTCAGTATCGGTGGCGCCCCTCAATGTGATGGTGCCGCCCTCAAAGTGCCGGTGGCGCCCCTGAATGTGATGGTGCTGCCCGCCAACGAGTCGCTGGCGCCCCTCAAAATGATGCTGCCGCCCCTAATAGTGTCAGTGACGCCCTTCGAAGTGTCGGAGGAACCCACCAATATGATGGTGCCGCCCCTCTAGATATCCACATAGCCCCTCATTGTGATGGAGCCGCCCCTCAAGCAGATGATGCCGCCCCTCAAGAAGATGATGCCGCCCCTGAATGTGATGGTGCTGCCCGCTAACGAGTCGATGGCGCCTCTCAAAATGATGCTGCCGCCCCTTAAGTGTTAGTGCCGCCCCTTATAGTGTCAGTGACGCTCTTCGAAGTGTCAGAGGAACCCACCAATGTAATGGTGCCGCCCCTCTAGGTATCCACATAGCCCCTCATTGTGATGGAGCTGCCCCTCAAGCAGATGATGCCGCCCTCAAGAAGATGATGCCGCCCCTTTCAGTATCGGTGGCGCCCCTCAATGTGATGGTGCCTCCCTCAAAGTGCCAGTGGCGCCCCTAAATGTGATGGTGTCTCCTGTCAACGAGTCGGTGGCGCCCCTCAAAATGATGCTGCCGCCCCTAAAAGTGCTGGTGCCGCCCCTTAAAGTGTCAGTGGCGCCCTTCAAAGTTTTGGAGGAACTCATCAAGTCATCAGTCATCAATACAATGTTGCCGCCCTCTAACTTTCTGTAGCGCCCCTCCATATACATAATGGTGCCGCTTCTCAAACCATCCGTGGCGCCCCTCAAAGTGATGGTGCCGCCCCTTACAGTATCGGTGGTTTCTCCTCAAAAGTCAAGGTGCCGCCTCTCAAAGAAATGCTGGTGTCCCTCGAAGTGTCGGAGGCGCTCCTCAATGATGTTGCCGCCCCTCAAACCTTCCGTAACGCCCCTCCACGTCATGGTGCCGCCCCCCAATGTGCTCATGGCGCCCTTAAATGTGATAGTAACGCCGGTCAAAGTGCTCCTGGCAGTGTCGGTGGCGCCCCTTATAGTGTCGGTGGCGCCCCGAACAGTATCGGTGGTGCCCCTCAAAGTGATAATGTCACCCTCAAACAAACGGTGGCGCCCTTCGAAGTATCGGAGTCCCTAAATATCATACCTATTGCCACCCATTAACCATCTGTAGCGCCCCTCCATATGATGAAGCCGCCCCTTAAAGTATCCGCGGCGTTCCTTAAAGTTACAGTGCCGCCCCTTACAATGTGGGTGGCGTCCTCAAAATAAAAGTGATGTTGCCCCCCCCCCCCGAGTAATGTTGGCGTCTCTTCTTTAAGTATCGGAGGCGCTCCTCATTTTCAACTGCTCACATGGCGCCCTTCAATGTAATGGTGCCACCCCTCAACGCTCAAAGAGATAATTGCACTCCTCACAGTGTCGGTGGTGTCCCTCAAAGTGGTTTAAGTGCCCTAAAAAAAAATTGGTGGCGCGCCTCAAAATGATGCTGTCGTCCCTTAGCATATCTGCAGCGCCCCCAAAATGATAGTGCCTTCCCTTAACCGGCGCCGGGCTGAGGTTGTTTGAACCCCCCTCCCGACCCCTATAACTTGGCTACTTGGGCCACGTAGCGACACGCGGTAATCGGTATTCGAAGGAGTGTCAAAACTACTAGGGTTAGTTGGTTAACCGTACTTTGGTTAGGTCAAGTCAAATGTCAAATATCAGGTGACCAGAGGTCATCAAAGGTGAAATGTGGGTGAAATGTTGTCTGTTTAAACATTTATTGACAAATTGGCGCATAACTCGGGGAAGAATAGAACTACAGCACCGCGAAAAAGCGCATTCGATAGCTCTTCAACGTTCCTATAAAGTCCTCAGACTTGACCTAACATCAACGACTTAACCTCCAGAGCACAACTTGTTTAACCCTTGTCGGGCCGGGGAGGGTTAAAGGGGACAGTGGACCCCCTCCGCTCCTCTACTGAGCTGTTTTAATGAAGAAGCTTTTTACTTTAATAATTATTGACTCACGAAAGTTATGACATCGTTTTTTTCAGTACTGCGCTCCTCTCGTCGAGATGCGTCGAATGAACTATAATTTGACATTCAAATGTCATTTGGGAAATTTGAGCTCAGGTCCAGATCATGACCTGACTGGTAAAGGTCATGTTGCATATCAGTCGATTTGTATCGTCAAACTGAAATCATCTAAGGTGTTTTCATCGCTCAGGCATATCGCATGTCTCTATCAGAAGTTATTAAAAAAAAACCTGCTGGAGGCCTACCAATCCATGACCTGACATGACCTCAAGGACATAACGAGGGGTCGTGGGTGGCATTTTTCCGATTAAGTGTGTCATTTTTAATTGTTTTCTGATGTTTAAATTCGTTAACTTTGACATTTGTCTACCTATAAAAAGAGGCACATGCCCCGACTTTCTCCCATTTCCTTATACCTAATGGAAGGGTCGCAAAATTGTCCTTACCTTTGGTCAAAGACATCGCAATTTCGAGACTTACATTTTATGTACTTACAGTGACACACTGTTTGTCTTATCAATCGCTGAAGTTATAAAGGGATCGTTCAGTCGGTATATCTATGGTGAGCATTTGCCTGTTCCGTAGCTCAGTTGGTAGAGCACCGGACTCCCCGCATTGTCTCCGCTTGCGTTTTGTCCGCCGGCCGAGCCGGAGAGAAAGTTACCGAGTGAAGGTCATTCAAATTTCAAAAACTCAATGACAATGTCACTGGGGTCACCAAAATGTTTGAGTAGGTAGGTATAACATTCATTAACTGGGGGGGGGGGGAGGGATGAACTTATCTGTGCAATACGCTGTTCATTACGCGAGTAACTAATAAATAAAAAATGTATGAGTTCATCCTTACTCCACCCGCTCTCCCTCTCCATAAAAAGAGAGTTTAAATGTGTTGCATTTTATTTATACCTATGCAGAAAAATAGAGACGTCTAAGGATATGGCCGAATATCAGCGACCCTTGCTGTGTAAGCAATGAGGTATGACAAGTGGGGGTAATGGCCCCGTCCAGCGCCCATAAAGTGGGCCCCACTCGCGCGACCTGCCGACCACTGTTCTAGATAGAGCCATAAAACGCGTGAATGTTTTAAGCTTGACGATACGGATCGACTGGTATGCAACATGTTCTATTTTTGGTGAGGTCATGAACCTGACCTCAGGTAAAATTTCAACATTATTTTTTTTTTGTAAAATCAAATTATATTTCATTTATCGCATTATGATGAGAGAAAAACTATATCCCGGAAATACCGCTGAGCTTAGGTTGAATCTGAAATCATTACTTAGAAAGAGTTATAAAAGAACCGTCGAACGTGTCTTTTTTGGTCATTAAATATCAGTAGGTATGCCGCCCCCTCAGATGCCAAGTGCCGCCCCTATGAGTGCAAAATGCCGCCCCTAATTGTGATTGCCGACCCAGTGAAAATCCCTTAAAATACGCCCTGGCAGGGACAGTGCGGGTCAGTTCAGCACACAGTGTCCGAGTGTGGCTGTGTGCCCGCAGTGGGCAGTGATGATCATCACACTGTGACAGTTATTGACTGTGTGTCGGCAAGGACAGTGCAGGTCAGCTCGGCACACAGTGTTAGTGTGTGACTGTGTGTCACGCAGTGACAGTGCTGATCAGCGCGCAGTTTCAGCGCACGTGTTCGTGGAGGCATTGCGGGCCAGCACGCAGTGTCTCTGTGTGTCTGTGTCACTGCGCATCAGCACATACAGTGCGAGTTAATTTCAGTGTAATGAACCAAAGAAGTAACCTTCAGTGGGATCACCTCTACATAGACTTTGATATGAGTTATGACATCAATAATGGAGCAACTTGGTGAATCTCGAGATGTGCAGTAAGACAGAATGACCGGAACATTCAGCACCTAGCCGGGGCTATTCGGAGGAAGCATTACGACAGCGTATCTCTGCTTCGCTGATCGGAAGCTCCTTCAGAGGCGCTGTCACCTCCTTTTTTAGCCCGCGCCCCGTTGGGTTATGCCGAGCAAAGCTGGGCTGTTGGGGGGGGGGGAGACATTTGGGCCCCCCTCTAAGATCTCGAGAACCACGCAACATAGCGACAAGCAGCATTCAACGGTGCTATTCAACCAATGGGGAAGTACCTTGTGACGCAATTTCATTGACCTAGGTCAAACAGATGACGTCACAGGTCAGTTCAAATGAAGAATTTTCACCGTTTACAGGCATTTCAAGAAATGTGTTGTAAATCGAGTAAAATGCAAGTCTTTATGTGGGCGAGGATGGATGACATGATTATTATTAATATAACGAGGCTTGAAATGATCTCACGCATGTCAAAGTGCTTTTATTTTAGGCAAAATAAATATCTAAAACAGTAAAACTTGATGATGGCGTAATGCCGAAAGCTTGTTTTACTGTTTTAGATATTTATTTTGCCTAAAATAAAAGCACTTTGACATGCGTGAGATCATTTCAAGCCTCGTTATATTAAAATGCAAGTCTATTGAAAATCATCGACGGGGAATTGTTCTTCAAACACATATCTTGCTAGTTGAGGTCACTGATACCAGGTTTGGTCACAGAGGTCAGGTCACTGCAAGGGTCATAATTTGAAAATATGTGATGCATGTTTTATGGTCCACTTTACATCACAAATGCGATTATGTGGGTCAGGCAACCTTTGGGCCTTGGGGCCAGTTAAGGTTCTGTTCTGGTAAAGGTCAGCAGAGGCGGATCCAGCTCAGAGTTTTTTTTTTTTTTTTTGGTGGGGGGGGGGCAAACCATAACAATTTATCGATTCTTTCCATGCCTCGTCCATAGGCGTAATGTTAAAAATATGCCGTTTGGGAGGGGCAAATGCCCATTTTGCCCCCCCCCCCCCGGATCCGCCACTGAAGGTCAGGACAAGGCCAGGTCAACTTAGGTCAAATTTTAAACTTGATATTTTTGCATAAAATGGGTATCAATTCGATGCAGCTGGTCACGGGGAGTCTAATGGTGGTCTTCGTTTTGCGCTACGTGGTCTAGAATCGCTAACAATTGAATTAAAAAATGACATCATCAATCTGAAGTTTTTTTTCGCTATAACTTGGCCAAAAAAGGAGATATCGATCTCAAATTTGGTATGTCGATAGAAGAGCGCAGGGACTATCATATATATTCCGTTTTTTACGAAATGCGAAATAAATTGCTTTTTTTGCTATTTTATAACAAAAATCAGTTTCTAATTTATGGGGGTCTAAATCACAAAATTTTGAAAATCCGAGATAGCAGTTTTGTTGCGTTGTCTTTTTTTCTACACGACCGTATAAAGAACTTTGAAATTGCTTTTTAACTGTAGCTTTTGTGAGCATTTCAAGATAAGTTTTTTTGCTCATTTTTCTCAAACATTACCTCAGTTTGACCTTAAGATCTCCTGACCTAAGGTGACCTTAGACTTGAAATTTTGTGTGAAAATATCAAATTGATGTCAGGGAAGGTACTGAAAATTTGGCGGCTCTGCGCGCCGCCGTTTTCTTGCTATTAAGAAAAAACCACAGGGGGGCCATTTTGCTCTCCCCCCCCCCCAACGGGGCGAGGGTTTAACACTCATATGACTGGGAACGGGTAAAGAAAGAGGCTGTATTGTGCGCATTTACATTACAATGCCTACATTGCCTTTCAACCTACGGAACGGATTGAATGGAACGTTTCGAAAGCAAAAGTAGAAAAGAAGTCTTGGGCGCTGTGAAAACCTGGACACGCGTTTGCAGCAAACTTTCCAGCGACGGCGCGGACCGGTCCCACCAGCGCGGCTCTACCTCTGCCGCTGCCGGCGACTCGCCGCCCGCTCGCCCGCTGCCGGCGACTCGCCGCCCGCTCGCCCGCTGCCCGACTCGCCGCCCGCTCGACCCGAGCCGGTCATTTGCGCCGAACTGCATCCTCTCTATGGGTACGATGGTGAGCCCTCCGGGCACCCCGGCTTGTCCTGATTTAGGACAATGCTGACGATGGAATTCCGAATTCATATGGTTTTCAGGGGTTCATTTTTACCCGTGGCTGACATTACAATATTTTGCCTGTATTCTAGACTGCCTGTAGTTGCCCAGTGCGATTACCCCAGTTATGCGTTTGGGTGCTGCCGGTAGAGTACTATGCGTTGTGCGTGCAGTCTCATCGACTAGGTAATATCGCCATCATGAGATCTCTCCCAGTTCAGCACTGGTGCCTGGACCGCTCTGATACCGGACTGAGGCAAGGTCAGCGGGGAAACGGGTGGGGCCGTCCGAGACGCACCGCCGACCCCCCCCCCCCCTCCCTCCGGGGCGGCGGCGGTGGGCACTTCCCGGTCCGCTGTGCAAAGGGTCCGCTCTGGAATATGGGGGTGAAATCGCTTACCTACTAGAAGTAAGCGTGACACAAGGAATATGAAATATGTGGTGGAGACACAACTACATGACTTATCGATCAAAGCTCAACCGAGTCGTCATTCCGAGGTAAGCGATGATATCTGTAGAAATCGGAACGACTGGGATGGAATTGTAACTCACCGCATGAAAAGCAGAAAGAAGCTTAAAGTTAGCAAAATATGGCATCGTGTTTCACATAACATGAATATCCGACAAATGTATTTTATTCACACAACACGCATTCGAAGTTCGAACAAGGAGAAAGACTCACCTTTGCCATGAGCTAATTGATGCCTCGATACGCATAGGTTCGGTATATTTGACGTATGTACTTGAAATGGCATGCTGGGACGAATCCCGTCCGTCACTGTGACTCATATATAATTAACATCTCTCCAAAGCCCGATTTGTCACATCAACCCCGTTCCACTCACAGCCTTCGAATTGCCTTCGACATTGAGCCGAGCGCAGGTAACAACGACAGCTTTATGGCCCGTTTCCCAGGTAGCACCTACCTGTCGATAGGGTGCATAGCACCACAACGGCGGTCCAAATGCGATCCAGAGGCGACATCAGCTCGCCTGATCCCACTACCACCACCACAGGCGCTCCGGTCTGACTAACGCAGATCTCCCTCCAGCTGGTCGGCGCGCCGCCTGGCCACTTTCTCTTCCCGGACGGAGCCTGGAGGTCAGCGGACGTGCTGCCATCTGTTGGACAGGTGTGCACTTCTGCTGCGGCTCGGAACTCCAGGCGTCCCTAAGCAGCCCTGTTGCCTGTGCAGTGTGCAATGTGCATTGCGCAGATTGAGCAGAGAAAAGGTCAATTGAGTTCACATAATATTTCTAGAGGAGCAGGAATATGTTATTATACAAATAACCAGTCACGTGATTATCATCGGAATAATGATAATTGAAACTGGATCAACGAATAGTCACGGCGCATCGGAGGGCACAACATCGCATTAGCGACAATGCATTATATAAGTTATCACCAATCACCATCCTGCATCCACACTGTTTTCCGTATTCACTATTGGCGAATGGCGATATTCAGGCTGGAGGCTGAATTCTATTGCAACGGAGTTTGATAGAGCACAACACATTTAATAATTAGGGGTAGTGGCGGATCCAGGGGAGGGCAAATAGGGCATTTGCCCCTCCCAAACGGCAACATTTTAACATTACGCCTATAGACGGTGCATGGAAAGAAACGCTAAATTTTTATGGTTTGCCCCTCCCAAAACTCTGGATCCGCCAGTGATTTGGGGAGAGTGGGGTAAATCAGAGTTTGATAAATTGAAAGGAATCGGTAAAAATTGTATATGGTTGAGTTCTCCGTAATTTTCTGAGTCCAACAGCAAAGGAAAAAGGCACATCAGTGCCCTACTTTGCAAATAAATGCCGTTTCTAAATCGATTCATTTCATTTTTTGAACGGTGTTCCGTTCAAATTGGTCACGAGTTTCCCGTTTTTATTAAAATGTCGGCTGTGCTGTGAGTTCTCCTCGTCGCTTCCGGCCGGCCGGCCCTCGGCGGCCCGAGCCATGTGAGGCCTTCGGCCATGTGTAGGCCACTTGTCACCGTCCTGGGCCGACGGCCGCGTCTAGACCGAAGCAGTTGTTCAACGAGTGTCGCCAGGGAGAGGACCCGACAATCCTCTCCCTGGCACGACTGAATATAACCCCAGCCGACAGCGGGCGTGTCGATTGAGTGAACCGCGAGCCGTGATATCGAACCGAACAGCAACAATCGGTATTCAAAATAGCCTTGTTATGCAAATACAGATTAGGTACAGAAGCAACGTGAACCAACCCCTTCGTCTTTTTCTTCCACGCGTATTTGATTGTATAGAGGATGCACTTGGAGCCGGAGCCGCCATGACATTTTACCCGGAGCCGGAGCCCATTTTTTTCTCCTCAGCCGGAACCGTCTGTAATTTCCACGGCTCCGCACGCGTATATTCGGATGCAGTATGAGTAGAGCATGGGTCCCGAAAAAATTCTTCAGAAACTAGAGAAATTCTCGCGGCCACCGGCATTTAGGCGATCTGCTCGTGCTTTTGTCACTGGAGCGCTTCTTTCACGGAGATTGCGCCGGCCGCCTGCAACGGACGAAAAATACACGGCTTTGCAATCCGGCTGATCGTGGGAAAATACAGCCGGAGGTCTCGGCTCTATGCAGGTATACCACCGGGAGAGATGTATTTATTGTATAGTATATACCACTGGCTCGATGTATAGCCTGCAAGTTGGCTTTGGTGCAAACATGTCAAACAGGGTATAGGGCGGATCGATGTAAGCAAATCAGACGTTCAATTGACAATTTCCGATTCTTATTCGATAATTACGACCAATTATATTTTATTTTGGAAGTGTTATTGGGACCGGAGCAATAAAATCTCATTTTCCCCTGTCTCCTTACCTATCTCCCAAACCCCTTGCTCACTCATCTTTCCTCTCTATAGGTATCAGTCTCCTTCCCGTCCTCCCCGAGTCTCTGACAAGTAATATCCATATCTCTAAGTCTTTTCCTTCATCTGATCCTCCTTTCTCTCACCACCCTTTTTTCTCTCTCTCTCTCTCTCTCTCTCTCTCTCTCTCTCTCTCTCTCTCTCTCTCTCTCTCTCTCTCTCTCTCTCTCTCTCTCTCTCTCTCGTCCGTCTCTCCGTCCGTTCGCCCGCCCTTCCGTCTCTCAGTCCGTCCATCCGTCCGTCCGTTTCTCCATCCGTCCGTCCATCAGTCACTCTCTCCGTCCGTCCGTCACCAGTCTCTTCGTCCGTCCATCCGTCTCTCCGTCCGTCCGTCCGTCTCTCCGGAGGTGCAACTTTTCCCAAATATGTAGTTCTTGGAACGTCACACAGTATATCGAACCCACATATTACATAGAGGTGCAACTTTTCCCAAACACCTCATTTACGGTCTTCGTGGGAAGAGACCGTACAAGGGATTTTTTACTCTTAGGCGTGGAGTAGATACGTAACTTAACCCTATTAGTGGCAGGGGGGGTTGTTTTTATCCACCCCTCAGGTTTTTCGGGAATATCTCCGAAACCGCTGAAGCTACGATGCTGAAATTTTCTGACTTCCTAAAACTAAATTGGGCACATTCCCTGAAAATTTCAAGTTCATAACTTTACCAGGGGCGGCTCCAGAGCACTGGGAATTGGGGGGTCCTATTCGTGAAGCGAGTCATTTGGGCAAAGATCACGATGCTGCACCAGTTTTACGAACAGCGAATGAAAGGTATCATGTGATAACATATACAAAGTTATTGTGCATCCTCTTTTGACACGTTTTTGCTATAATAGGCGGATCCAGGCGTCCAAAAAGGGGGGTTATTTTTTACCTCCCAACATAGGTGCCCTGACACCGCCTATGCATGACCAATATAATTTTAGTCGTTCTCTCATAAGAAAATTGTAACATAACAAGACCATTGCCACCCTTTTTAGAAACAGTACCAACAAAAACCTTATTTACTATACTTTTTGTGTACCCCCAATCTCAATGATCTGTAGGTATCCGCCTATTATTCTTGAAAATGCATATTTTAAAATCTATGTGAATTCCTGGTTCATTCTCTATCGATCGGCAAAAGTTGCGTTAAGATTGGTTCAGAAACCTGGCCGTGATAAACAGTCTAAAATGTATCTGCAATTTGCCCGTTTTTACCCCCTTCTACCCCCCTATTGACATTTTTTAATTTTATTTTTTTAGAAATGTAGATCTCGTTGAGCGAAATCGAATGCCGTTTGAATTTTGAAAATCGGCCCGTTAGATCTCGAGATATCAAGGGGGGTCGTAAACAGCCCCCCCCCTGCCACTAATAGGGGTAGCCAGGAGCCTGCCACTAATAGGGTTAAACTTAACGACTTAGAACTTCGCACTTTAGCGTACAAGTTAGAGGTGCAACTTTGCGAAGCAGCTCATGCACGGTTTTTGTGACGCGAGACCGCATAACAGTTTGAAAATGTTTCTCCGACTAGAAATATACTCCATACAGTCTTTTTCATTATTATTACAATAACATTAGGAACAATGACATACTCACAGTCATATAATGCCCAGAGAAAACAGCGTAGCCTGGATACAGACCGTTCCAAAACGCATGTCGACTCTGGAGCAGCGCTGGCCGACTAGAGTAACTCCGAAACACATTGTAACCTCGTAGCACGCCTGCGGACTCGGTCATGTCACCAACAAATCGTACGCAACGAAATGCAACGAAATTGAAATGGCGCGATGCGCCTCAGATAAATGCCCGCATTCATATGGTAGCCGTCGTGTGTGTCCGAGAATTTCTCTAGTTTCTGAGGAATTTTTCGGGACCCATGCTCTGCTCATACTGCATTCGAATATACGCGCTCCGCACCCCTGTTTCTGGCGATGCGCCAAACCGTGGAAACTGAGAGGTTCAGGGTATTCGCAATTATGCGAATGGATACAGCCCTCTGATTCTTTTGGTGGCGTTGACGGAAGTCTTTAATCTTTTGGACAACATCCTGTTTCGGAGGACGATTCCCTGTCGGAACTTTCGGCCGTAACTGACCTTTGCTTTCAATAAACCTTTGAGTGATCCTTTTAAAGGCGTTAAAACTGGGTAGATGTTTCAGGTTAACTGTAAAGTGAAGCCGAAACTTTCTTCTCAATTGGCGTTCTTAAAGCTTCCAAACTGTAACACTATCCACGCCTGCTGTTCTTTCGAAAATGGCGTTTTAATACTTTGAGCACGGCGAGGTGACCCCGACATATCCCCTTCTCAAACAGGAATGACGACAATTTTTGCATTGAATGCCATTTATATAAAATGTCCATTAATTTCCAACAATGCTTTAAAGTTTGCACGTGCTAGACACATTTTTCCTTCATGGATTCCCAAGTTTGAAATTGACATTCATCATGAAACACCCTGGTCCCTGTAGGAGCGATGGAGGTGGAGGGTCTTAGTGGCGGGGGCTCATTACACTGATTACTTCTTCTGGATGTCTTTGAGTTTTAGGCAGAGGGCAGTTACGTGTCGCCCACTCACCTCGCTCTATTCAATTGTATTGTTTTGCATCCGCTGGTTCACAGCCCTTGTCGTGGACGGAACCCCCGCTCCAGCAGCATGTAAGCGTAGGCGAGCTCACTATGGCTCCACGGGCGGTTGGAGCCGCGCCCCCTGCCCCTGAAGGACATAGCGGGTGCTGTGGCCAGCCGGGCGTGTATTTCCTGCCAATGCTCCCTCGGTGGGCCAGGTCTGTAGCGGGAGGAGCGGAGTTTGGTGGGCCATGTCTGTAGCAGGAGGAGGAGCGAGGTTTGGTGGGCCATGTCTGTAGCGGGAGGAGGAGCGGGGTTTGGTGGGCCATGTCTGTAGCAGGAGGAGCGAGGTTTGGTGGGCCATGTCTGTAGCGGGAGGAGCGGGGTTTGGTGGGAGAGGGGAGGTTTCAGTCCGTGGAGGGGCGTCTTCTGGGGGACTGGGTGAGTCGGGGGGACTGGTACTTCAGGCCCGACGTCCGCCAAGAGAAAGGGTTCCATGCTGGATGGAGGGTCAGGATCCACGCCTGCCAGGGTGAGGAACTGTTTCACCCCTTAGAGGTCTCGCTCGCGGCGGGACTCCATATTATAATCTCGCTGAGCTGTCGGGGCCGAGTGGCGGCGGAGG